GATAGTACTATTAATTGTTGATKATTATAAATAATTCTATGGTTTCATGATATTTAGGAAAGTGAGTTTTTGAAGAAGGCTCTTACTTTACCCTGGACATTATCAACCAGTCAACAACCACAGCAACAGATGGTAGCTGAGCACTTTAGTATAGCAGAACCAGAGCTCATGCACATGGTAAGAATAAAACATTATTATTATGGTTATGGTATGGTTTTTCRAGCTTCTYGTCATAAACAGGGTATGCAATTTCACTCAAGTTCCAAGCTCTTCATGAGCTTCCTGTCATATTCAGGGTTTCTACTTTCGTTTTGACTGAAACTGGTTATTATGGTTGTAAAAAAATGATACGCAAGATGACATGATAATTGAAACAGGAACTCAGTGCAATTAATTATATCTTTTGTCATAAACAAGGTCTATAAATTTTAGTTTTTTTGTCATAAACAGGGTACCCCTTTCAGAATCCCAGCGGAACACCCCTACCCAAATCCTGGCGGAGTACCCCCTCCCCCCCCGGCCCAAAACCTCCTCAAAATACTAAAGGTACCTCGTTTGGGTTGCTCCATTGTGGTACCTTTTTTGTTTTTTGGGTACCAAGTTGTTTGAACTGCTTTTTTGTTTACCCATTGTAATATTTTGATGTGGCTATGGGTCTTGGGTATATTAAGGTACCTCGTTAAGGGCTGCTCCATTGGGGTACCTTTTTTGTTTTTTGGGTACCTTGTTTGGGTTGCTGTTTAGTTAAACCTTTGTATTTTGTTGTGCCTTTGGGTCTTGGGTATACTAAGGTAACTTGTTTGGGCTGCTCCATTGGGGTACCTTTCTTGTTTTTTGGGTATTTTTTGGGTACCTTGTTTGGGTTGCTTTTTAGTTAACCCATTGTATTTTGATGTGCTTTGGGTCTTTGGTATGCTAAGGTACATTGTTTGGGCTGCTCCACTGGGGTGCCTTTTTTGTTTTTTGGATACCTTGTTTGTTTTGCTTTTTACCCATTGTATTTTGATGTGGCTTTGGGTCTGAGTATACTAAGGTACCTTGTTTGTGTGGCTCCTTCTGGGGTACAGTGTACAAGGTACTCACTTCTGAAACTCCATATTTCCTTTCAGATCTCCCCTGGTGGGGGTTTTGGTCCAGTAACTGATGAYGGGTATGGAGTCTCTTACATGGTACCAGACGACAACAAGATCTTTTTCCATGTCTCGTCAAAATTCTCCTCCAAGTTAACTAACAGTGACAGATTTGTTAATAATCTGTTTGAGAGCATGGCTGAAATGAAGGCCTTGTTTGAGAATAATCCTTRGGCTATAAAATAATTCTCACGACAAAACTAAAACGACATGAGACAAGGATTTGCTTGCTTTTGCAGGCTCGTTGCCTAATATGCATACTTCAGTCTTAATTT